TACAGATGTTCCCCAAACGCTCCCCAACTCCCTTTTAGTGCCATATTCCCTGTAATATAGTATCTATGAAAGCATTCAGTCCAAAAGTATTAAAAATCACTCATTCAAGTGTATTTCTAATTTCATTCGTTCTAAATGCACGCACGTGCGTGCACGTGCATGACACGCACGTGCATGATGACCATACCTTCTTGTAGGAGTCCCTTATATTTATCTATGTTCTGAATCTCATCCTGTTTGGTTGAAAAACAAGGGAGTTATAGCCATTTCAAGTTTTCGCCAATCAGATTGCAGCACACGTGCATGCGCGTGATTTCATGATTTTTTTTTATATTGCATTGTAGGATATCCTAATAAATGTCTATGTTTTAAATTTCAAAGCATTTCGTCAAAAAACAAAGGAGATATAGTCATTTAAAGTTTCAGCCAATCAGATCGCAGCACACGTGCATGCGCGTAATTTCTTGAAATTTTTTGTATATCATATTGCAGGACATCCTAATGTATGATTATGTTTTAAATTTCAAAGCATTTCGTCAAAAAACAAAGGCGATATAGTCATTTAAAGTGTCAGCCAATCAGATTGCAGCACACGTGCATGCGCGTGATTTCATGAATTTTTTTCTATATCATATTGTAGGATATCCTAATTCATGACTATGTTTTAAATTTCAAAGTATTTCGTCAAAAAACAGAGAAGATACAGAGATTTTTGATTTAGCCAATCAGAGCAAAGCGCACGTGCATGCGCGTGAGTTCGTGCTAATTTGACAGTGTCACATTATCTACATTATTAATATATCTTTATATACTAAGTTTCAAATCATTTCATTAAAAAATATTAAAGTTATAGCTATATTAAGTATATAAGTCATTTCACGTGTTGCACGCGCACGCACGTGCATGCGTATGCGCGCAAAATGACCTTCGTTCCGCACACCTACACTACACACCCATTAACCCTAAAAAGGTTTTAGGTCAGTTGGGTGAACAGTTTCTGAGAACACTTCCGGACAAAAAAGTACCGGAGAACAAATAAGAAAAAAAAGAATAATAACTAGTGCTAATTGTAACGGGGACCGTTACAGATGTACCCCAAACGCTCCCCAACTCCCTTTTGGTGCCATATTCCCTGTAAGCTTCATTAAATAGGACAAAATCTATGCATTGAGACTTTAACAACGCCAAGTTCATTCAAATTTTAGCATTGGACGCGTGCACATGTGAATGCATGTGCGTAATGACCATATCATCTTGTCTACACAATCTATACATTTTAATATACTAAATATTAAAGTATTTTATCCAAAAGTATTTAAAAATACGCTCATTCAAGTGTATTTTTGATTTAACTCATTTCACGTGCACGCTCGTGCATACATGAGCATGGTGTCAATATCTTCTTGTAGACGTTCATTACATCTATCTATGTTCTAAATCCCACTCCGTTTGGTTGAAAACCAAAGCAGTTATAGCTGTTTAAAGTTTCAGCCAATCAGATTACAGCGCAAGTACACGCACGTGTATGCATGTGCATGGCGACCGTATCATGTTGTAGAAGTTCATTATATCTATCTATGTTCCAAATCCCATCCTGTTTGGTTGAAAACCAAGGGAGTTATAGCTATTTAAAGTTTAAGCCAATCAGATTGCAGCGCACGTGCATGCACGTGATTTTATGACAAATGCTATATATATCATGTTGTAGGATATATTAATGCATGGCTATGTTCAAAATTTGATAGGATTTCGTCGAAAAACAAGAAAGATATAGAGACTTTAGTTTCAGCCAATCAGAGCAAAGCGCACGTGCATGCACGTGAGATCTTGCTATTTTTACCATGTCATTATGTCTATATTGCTAATAAATAATCAAATTATGAGTTTCAAAGCATTTCATCAAAAAATAAAAAAGTTACGGCTATATCTATTATATTGGTCATTTCACGTGTTGCACGCGCACGCTCTTGCAAGCACGTGCGCGCAAAATGACCTTGATTCCACAAATCTACATAACATGTCTACTGACCCTAAAAAGGTTTTACCTACATCGGATGAACAGTTTACAAGATCACTCCCGGACAAAAAAGTACCCAGGAAGAAGAAGAAGAATAATAATAATAAGAAACAGAGTAAAAACAATATGTTCCCCAACTTCGTTTGGGGAACATAACTAGGGCTAATTGTAACGGGAACCGTTACAGATGTTCCCCAAACGCTCCCCAACTCCCTTTTGGTGCCTTATTCCCTGTAAGCTTCAATAAATAAGACGAACTCTATGCCTTTCAGACTATAACAATGTTTTCCCAGAAGTATATTCAGTATATTCAAATTTATGCATTGCACACATGCGCATTTGAATGCATGTGCGTAATGACCATATCATCTTGTGTACACTATATATATACTAAAATTACAGCGTTTTATCCAAAAGTATTAAAAAATACGTTTTAATCTAGTGTATTTGTAATTTTACTCATTTCACGTGCACGCACATGCATGCATGTGCATGTCGACTGTATCATCTTGTAGGAGTCTGTTATGTTTGTCTATGTTCTAAATCCCATACTGTTTTGTTGAAAAACAAGGGAGTTATAGCCATTTAAATTTTAAGCCAATCAGATTGCAATGCACGTGCATGCGCGTGTTAACATGACAATTGTTATACATCATATTGTAGTACATCCTTAAGTATACCTATATTTTAAATTTCATAGCATTTCGTCAAAAAACAGAAAAGATAATGAGATTTTTGTTGCAGCCAATCAGTGCGAAGCGCACGTGCACGCGCGTGAGTTCGTGCTAATTTGACAGTGTCACATTATCTACACTATTAATATATCCTTATTAAATGAGTTTTAATATATTTCATCAAAAAATGTTAAAGTTATGGCTATATAAAGTATATCCGTCATTTGACTCATTTCACGCGCCCGCACGTGCATGCGTATGCGCGCAAAATAACCTTCGTGTTGCACACCTACACTACACACCTATTAACCCTAAAAAGGTTTTAGCTCAGTTGGGTGAACAGTTTCTGAGAACACTCGCGGACAAAAAAAGTACCGGAGAACAAAGAAGAAAAAAAAAATAATAATAATAATAATAATAAGAAACCGAGTAAAAACAATATGTTCCCAAACTCCGTTTGGGGAACATAATAAGAAGAAACAGTGGAATCACTATAAGGTCTTCCGTCTGAAACGGAAGACCTTAATAAGAAACAGAGTAAAAACAATATGTTCCCCAACTTCGTTTGGGGAACATAATAAGAGAATTAAAGTTATCAAGCAAGATCCCTGCAATGTTGACAATTCAATCCCCATACATGCCACTTTTCGGTACAAAATGTGCGCATAACGGTATTCTATGGGCAAGCGGCCTTGATAACACAATCATGAAAATGGATAAAAGCAAAAATCTTTTACAAAAGATAGAAAACGTTGATACTCCTGCACGTTTTACAATAAATGCATTGGGAGATTTACTGTTTGTTGCACTAAAACCGTCGGGAACTATTAATATGTTCAGGGATGGAAAATTTTCACGATATTTATCTTTAAAATATTGGATTGCTGTAGGTCTTTGTTTTGTTGGATATGACAATGTATTAGTTAGCATGCGCTCTGCACATCAAAAACAGAGCAGGGTTACAACGTTTTCGAAGCAAACGGAAGTACAACGAATCCAATACGACAGCCAGGGACTGCCTTTGTTTTCTACAGACAACAACATGCTTCTTCCTTTGATAGTAAACGGAAATGAAGATGTTTGTGTGGTGGACGTAGCTAAAAATGTCGTTGTTGTCGTTGATGATTCAGGGATATTTAGATTCACATACAATGGTAACATCGCCAACCAGTCAAAATACAAAGAATTTTCTCCACTATACATTGCTGCTGATTTGAACCATATGATTCTCGTAAGTGACAGTGCCAATAATATTGTACATGTAATCATGGTAATTGACTGTGATGGTAACTTTGTCCGTTACATAGAACATCCGTGCAGTGGAGGGCTGAGTATTGATTGCGACCACATTTTAGCTGTGGGAGATGGTGAATCAGGTCTAATTAGGTTCATTAGATATTAGGAACGCATAACGTTGACAGAGTATATTTGTTGCTAGAAAAATATTTTTATGGATAATTGAGACAGGGTTTTTTTAAACATAATTTTACAAAGTGCATGTGAAAATTTCAAAATGTTTTGTCTCATAAATGAGATAAATTCCAGTGTAACAATCAAACATTTGATTTTTTAGTTGATTTTTTTTTGTTCCCTTCGCCTGTCGTTTGTAACTCAGTGACTAAGGATGCAAGACGTTATGGGTGAGGGATAAGGACCTGATAGATGATCAGTGTCATATTGAAACATGCATTGGATTCAACAGCACTTCTTGAAAAACTTTGGCAGTTTAACTCTCTGTCAGAATGTTTTACTTACTCTCTTCTCTATTATGTAACAGACAAAGGAGTATTCCTTTAAAACGCTGTTTTTTAAATGAAGTTTTGTCGTGTTATCACTTTAATTCATTAAAAAATTTACAGTATTTCATGATAGAAAATGTAAAAGTGCATTACGTCATTGCTTTCATAGTTTCACTGCATATAAAAAGCAATTTTTGACTCTAGGGCGGATAGGTAACTTACACAGGCAAAAGTGGCTCGCATGAACTTCATATGAAATTCGCATGAATATCGTGCGAATTCTTCGCATGAAAAGGAGACGAAAAGGACCACACATGATATTCGCATGAAAATATCATGCGATTTTGACATGAAATTCGCACGAATATCATGCGAATAAAAATTCGCATGAAATTCATATGAATATTTTTGCTGCTTTCTTTACAGATTTTCATATGAATTTCATGCGAATTTCATGTAAATATCATGATATATTCATATCAAATCCATGTGATGTAATTTATATATTTTTCCTAGTATATTGGACTTCCAATTATTTAAATCCATTTGATGAAAAGTATTAGGAAATTCTAATACTTAGATCTGTATATGAATTTGTACAACTAATCATCAACGTTTCACTGTTACTGTATTCAAAAAAATGCAATAAGTACAATCTCAAAATCTGATCCAGCAAATGACTTAATGAGCTTTATCTAAATCTTAATTTGAAACTGCTTAATTTTAACACATGCAGATTTTGAGGAAGCACCACTATGATTATCCAAGTTATTCTTTTGATGAACAAACAACTGGACACATTCTGTTTCTTAATCTTCTTTATTGAATGCTTCAATTCTTTTTAACATTCTCTGCTCAAGGGCCACCCATCTGTCTGGAGATTGTTTCATCTGCAAGAGAAAATAATTGTAATGAATACTGGGTACCAGTAAATGAAATACAGTCATGAATTTTACAACTGCATTTCCAAAGTCAATATTTCCCTACTTATCAAGATAACATAAAATATGAACAAAAGTAGATATAGCAATCTCATATCACCCCTAAGTTCAATTTGGTAAAAGGTTGAATTTATATTGCCTACATTGTAAATGATATTTAAAAAATTAAAAAACATACATCATAAATTATAATGATTTCAAAATCATACATCATAAATCATAATTAAAAGTATAATTATAATGTTTCTTAAGTATAAAATTATTGACAAAAAATGAAAACAATTTTCCTGCAAATGACTTTAAACTTAAAAACAATCTTGTGTCAGGTATCAATTAAACCTTGAGATAATTGTCTTTGTTTCATTGACCTATATCTGATGATGCAATTTGTATCTGTTGCAAGGGAATTTAAAAGCAAAATTTACCTACCATTGCATCTATGTTCCTTCTGAACACACGCCAGAAATCTGTGGCTGTGGTAGCTGGATTTTTTCCTGAACAATTTGAGTCCATCAGCGAAAGATCTCTGTAAAGCAAAGAACAGAAATAAATCTAAAAATATTATTAAGACTAGTCATGAATTTTATATCTTCAAAGTTCAACTTTTTAAAGGAATAAGTTTGAATCTGTTTTACTATTTAAACCGTCATGGAAATATTATGCACTAATTTTGCCTCTGTTATCAAAGATTGTTGGGTTTATATTGTTTTTGTACTGTTATGTCCATCTTTCTGTCTTAATATTTAACCTTTAAACACATTACTTATGAGTGGGTGGGGCTATGGCTTCATATTCCACAGGTGTATTTCATGTAACAAGAACTTTATCGGGGTACTATAAAATTTGACCTCTTGACCTTGATATTAGGGTTTGATCCACTTTTACAAAAAAAATCCCTAAACTTTAACCTAGGCTAATAATTTTGAACAGTTAGTGCTATCAATCTGATACTTCACATTATTTTGTAATCATTGTGACAAGACCATTCAATAAGTTTTTTTTACCTTAAAATTGGTCTTGACCTAAGAGTTTGACCCACTTTTAAAAAATATAATCTAGGCCATAACTTTTTAACAGTTAATACTAAAATTCTCATATTTCACAGGTTAAATTATTCCTTATGACAAAACCTTCCTTCAGATGCTAACAATTTGACCTTTTGACCTTGACCTTTAAGTTTGCCTTGCATTTCAGTCCTCGCTTTAAGATGTCATATAGGCATATATAAAGGCGTAAACATAGGATAAAATAATATATGTATGCATAAGTTTATTTGCTGAGTACCTAGGAGCAGAAAAAGATGACTGTCAAAGAATTACTGCATTTTTTATATGTCTTCTATAACATCAGAACCTATTACTGGGTACCCAGGGGCAAAGTAATGTACAATTTTGGAAATGGAACTCTTTAATACTCATTATAAGTATATACTTTAAATGTACTTAGTTTGTTTGCATTCTATCAAGAAGCACTTTTACCATGCAAAATTTGGTTGATAATGGTTCAGTCAGTAATGGATAATTTGTTACTGATGGGACACACAACAACTGATGAAAAGAGAAGCAATAGGTCTAAAAACAAATAACAATAAATTGACACTTGCATCCCTCAAGTGTCCATATTAATGAAATTAAATTTCAATCCTTACCAATGCATAAGAGTCACCTTGAAGTTGGTCTTCTCCTCTGAATCGGTCATTCGGATGGTGATAACCAGAAATTGCCGAGAAGTCAGGTATACCCCTGCAGTCGAGCCTTTATTGGCATTTACTCCACATTCTTCTCTTGTGTCACTAGCTGAAATGTATCATATTATTGAGAATCTCACAAATTTAAGAATTTTTTATAAGCTGGTATTTTTACAATTGTACTTTTTTTTATAAAATGCATTTAAAGTTTCGATCAACAATGCATGAAATCAAAATGAAAAATTTTACGACAAATTTTGACCAAAAACAGGATATGTTTGTGAAACACTGATGCCCCCGTATGACAACATAGCAAAGATTAAACTTTTCTTAAATGCAAATTTAATTAATAGGTACCAAAAGTAGGATATTCTCACTGGAAAGCAATTGTGAAATTTGAAAGCAGGCCATTATTAAAGTTTTTTTTCAATAAGTACAAAAATCTCCAAGGTCAAGTCCTAAAGGCTAAGTTACTAATTGGTATCCAATGAAAGGTCTTGCCACATAGAATTACTTATGTAGAGTATGGAAGCCCTAGCCCTAACCTTTCAGAAGTTATGGCCAAGGTTAATTTTCTTTTAAAAGTAGGTCAAACTCCATGGTCAAGGTCAAAGGGTCAAAGTTCTTGTTATCAAATAAAAGGTCTTGTCACAAGAATTAAATATGTAAAATATGAAAGCACTAGCCCTAACCCTTTGAAATATATGGTCAAGGCTTGTTTTTTAAAGTAGGTCAAACTCAAAGGTCAAGGTCAAAGGGTCAAAGTGCTTGGTATCCAATGAAGGGTCTTCTCACAAGGATTACATATGTGAAGTATGAAAACCGTATCCCTTACCGTTCAAAAGTTATGGCCAAGGTTCAAGTTTTGCACAGGTACAGAAATCTACAAGGTCAAGGTCAAAGGGTCAAGGTTGTTGGTATCCAGTGAAAGGTCTTTCAATAAAAAATACACATGTGAAGTATAAATGTCCTGGTGTCTACTGTTCAAAAGATATGGCCAAAGTAAAAGTGTAAAATTATCATGTAAAAGTGAGTCAAACTCCAAGGTCAAGAGGTCAAATTTGGAAATATGAAAGCCATAGTCCCATCTGGTCTAAAGTTATGGGCAAGGTTAAAGTTTTTGAGGACAAACAGACAGACAGAGAGACAGACGGACAGACAAAGACTATAAACTGTACCCCAACACCTTGTTTACAATGAAATATTCCCAGCTTAGTCATAACTGGTCACGAGATTAAATTCCATAAAGCCCGAAGGGTTTCTATGTAAAATTTTGATTGGCCATTGTGGACCCGCCCCTCCCCTGGGGGTCATGATTTGAATAAACTTGAATCTACACTACCTGAGGATGCTTCTCTGTAAGATTCATCTTTCCTGGCACAGTGGTTCTTGAGAAGAAGATTTTTAAATCATACCATCAAATTTTCATTATTTCTGAATTATCTCCCCTTTGATATGGCATGGCCCTTCATTTGAACTAACTTGAATCCCCTTCACCTAAAGATACTTTGTGCAACGTGTGGTTGAATTTGGCCCACTGGTTCTATAGAAGAAGTCGAAAATGTGAAAAGTTAATGACAACAACAACGACGACAGACAGACAATGGACAAACTTTGATCAGAAAAGCTCACTTGAGCCTTCGGCTCAGGTGAGCTAACAAAAAATATTATAAAATACTTACATGTACTTTTGACAAATTGGGAAAATTAGGAGTTAGGACTCTCTGGTACTTGAAATCTGATCCTTGTGATGACAAGTAACTGTGCCTATACAGAGAAACTAAAAAATGTCAGGTACTGTAGGTTCAATAACATTTCCCAAATAAAAAGTAACAATATCTATCTTTGTCCTAACAAATCCTTTTATATTTTCTTAGTTAAAGTGTTGTAAAAACATGCCTTGCCAGTTCATGGTATTTTGTTAATGTTCCAAGGTTCATTAGTTTTGCACACTCTGCAAAATGAAATTGCATTTTGAAAGTGTTTCAAGGTCAAAGTCAAAGGGTCAACAGGTTGTTGAATATCTAGTGCAAGGTCTTTCAAGCAAATACAATGTGGCCAATTTCCCTGGTTAAGAGAAACATTTGAATAAACTATGACATGTATACTATGTGAGGAATTCAGGATGTATCTGTAAACAAAATTGTCCTGGCACAGTGGTTCTTGTGAATGAAGATTTTTACATATAATTTTTATTTTCATTATTTCTGTTATACCCCTTATATCATGGCATGGCCCTGATCATTTAACATACTTGAATCCCCTTGACCTGTAAAGAAGTGGCTTTGAATTATATCTCTCAAGTTTTTAAATGTTTGCCCAGAATTGTGTGCTATTGTCTATTGAAGAATAATGTCAATCCTGGAATTCAAAATACTGTGAAACAAGGTGTTTATAATTATAATTTTAAAAATTCAAATTTAGTGGTTTTTTGTTGCTTATGATTTGTTAGAGTTTGTTAGTGTGTTTCAAAAATATTTTGTTAATACTTACATGTATTTTGACAAATTTTGTTAAATTTAGTGGTTTGTTAGAGTGTTTCTGGTAGTTTGTTAAAGTGTTTTGTTAGTAGTTGTGATGTTTTGTTAGTAGTTTGTTATAGAATGCATGTGAGAAAATAAAAAATGTCAGGTAGTGTTATAGTATTTTGTTTCCCCCTAACATTTAGTTCATTATCTCTTTGTCACTTTATTTAAATTAAAAACATGTATTCTATAAATTAACGAAGATTATATACATGTTTTACAATTTAAAGAAATGCAAAGATAAGCAAAACATAAGCTGAATGGTTAAGGTTTTGCTACATGTGTACATGCAATAACAAAATTGTTATACATGTAATAACAAAATTGTTATTGATTGTTATACATGCACGTAATAACAAACAATGTATACCACAGGCTCTGCAAAAAATATTTCTCTCTTAGTTTTTTTTCTTACCTGCTTACATGTATCATATTTATAATCTTTGAGAAGCTATCAGTGTGGTATAATGGAGTGCCGTGCATAGATCTGCTTATAACCAGCAAATTATACCTGTGAGTATAGAATACAACATTTAATAAATATTTTCGAATTAATAAATATTTTGTAAATATATGTACAGTACATTTTAGGGAAGTGACTAGGACTTTCTGTCTTGCATTCCAGATGTAAGTAAGCCTCTTTATATCTGCATACATTTTGGAATGCACATGCACAGGTACTTGTGGACAGGACAGTGGGGTATTTTTTTTTTGTTGAGGGGTGGAAGGATTTTTTCAAAGGGGGGGGGGGGTATTATAATGTACATTTTACACCTGCATGTAGTTAAATAACTCAATAGGATACCGGGTGGGGTATGGTTTTTAAAGGAGGAGGTTGATATAAAACTAGGAAAAAATATTTGTATGGATTACCTGAAAAGTTTTTGAAAAAGAAAGGAAAATATTGATCTCAGAACCTGAGAATCCTATCCTACAACATTAGCTTTTTACTGAACATTTTCTATGGTAAAAACACAAACAAACAAAAATTTGGAACTTAATTCTTCTTATTCCTTTTTTTTTTTTTTTTGCAAATCCAAAAGGGAGGGTTGCAATTTACCACCGTAGTTAGAATAATCTTAAGCCCTCACCGGGTACGTAGGACATTAATTTTTATCATTTTAACAATAGAACATCAACATTCTATCTACAACCCCCCCCCCCCCCCCAAATGCTACGTGTGTTATTTGATTGCTGCAGTTTAATTTTATATACTAGATCCCAATGCAACAGGAATTAAAAACACATTAAAACATTAGGCCTATCAATAGACCAATAATATTGTAAGAAAAGCAGAGAACCTGTACTAGGCCCATCTTTCATTTTCAACACATAACGTTATGCGTTACCATAGATAATGTTAGATCCACTTGAATCTCATATCTGTTATTAAGCTGTCAACAAATATTCCCAAATAAAGTTATTACATCCGTCTGATATAAAAAGAAGATGAGAATCTTACAAACTTACAGAAAATATGGAGTTGAAAACATTCTGCTCTTTCTTTCTTTCTTTCTGCTTTCTAAGTCGCATGATGACGTAATTTGTGACGTACGGCATTCCATAAAAGAACTAGCTTTGGTTCCATAAAGTAAATTTATATCACTTAGTCATCTGCGTTCGTCTTTGAAGTGGAGATGCATTTTTAAGATAAAAATTTGAACGACTAATATTACAAAGATTAAGGTATTTCCCGATTCTTGGATGAATACGAAACCGATTAGCCAGGTTCTACCTGCACTTCCTGTTACAGAAAAAAAAAATCCGAGTCAGCAAGAGCTCCTTTCTATGGTTTGTTCTAGACTTTCCTTTTGGCTGATTGTGATATACTTCTTTGAAACAATGGTAAATATGTATGCTTTGTTGATTTTTTGTCATATTTTGTGGTTATAATGCACATTTTTATTGATAATTCAACTTGCAACGAAATCTTTCAGAGTAAATTCGGATTGCGTTCTCATTTCAGGTTCTACGTAACGCAGTCAGGTGAATCGACTGGTCCTTTTTATGCTTAGTGACATCTATATGAAGGTTTACTAAATTTTGAGTAAGTAATTTAAGGTTATTTTTATTTAAACTAATTGTCATTACAAGTTTCTACATATGTGTCAGAACACAACACACAGACAGTGTTTTTGTTCTGACACATGTAAACACAACTTTTATAGACCAAGTGTATCCCATAAAATAATTTAGACATAGGTCAAACAAAAGGTTCAATCTTCTAGGGGATTAATTTGAGGTCCATGCAAAAAAAGTGTAACTATATATTCCCATTGCATTTGATTTATTCACAGTTGAGGTATTCTAATTATTCTGTGCAGATTTTAAAAAAATCAATCTTTTCAGTATTTTACTGTTGTCTGTAATATATTAAAAATTCATCAATTACATGTTTATTGTCATCCAATTGGAACATCACAATTAAAATGAAAATTTTTATCTCATTTATGGTTCAATAGCAGCCCGATATATAGATTCGCTAGGTCAATAACACACTGTATGGTGTCTGACACATCCCTCTAAAGTCTAATATGCAGTTATGAATCTGTTAAACACATGGTCTTTTCTGTTTCGCTCTAAACTATAGTACCATTTAACATACCGTATAATCCCTATTAACCGCCCCGGGCCTTAGAAAATTGCAAAAAGTGGGCGGTTATTTTGGTATAGTCTTTATGATATTTAATGTCATATTTTAACTTAAAAAATCCTTTGAAAATAAAAAATGAATACAAAGAACCACTAAAATAATTTCTAACTTTACTGAAAGTGAAGATAATTCAACCAAATGCTAAATTAATATTCATTTTCCACTAAGAAATCGGTTAATAGACAAGTTTTCTTTTCACTTTCATTTTTTTTATATGATTCTAGATGATTTTAATCACTGTACTGGGGGCCCTTATTTCCTGACAATTGAAAAACAAATAGGGGGCCCTTATAGGGGCAGGGGTGGTTAATAGGGATTATACAGTACTCAGTTATTCAAGTTGCCAAAACATGGACTTTTCAAGTGATATCATTGAATTTATTGTATTTAATGTCATTCTAATCTAGGAATTGGTCCCTTTGACCTAAACAATTGGAATATTAGTATGGGTAATAGTATTTTATAATAATTAATATAATAATTAAATAATTAATTAATTAATAATCTTTGTAGGAAACACTTGTCAGGACACAAGACTGAAAGAAAGATGTACTGAAAAACTGCCTGTAAACACAACAATCATTAAAGTCAATGGATTACCCAGGAACATCCATGCAATATGATATCAGAGACTGGCAATTTTTATCACTTGATGTGGCAGAAAAACCTAAATAAATATTGAAATGTTCAATTTCTTTGTTCATTGCTTTTCTCTTGTGTATATGAATATCGCATAATATTTATGCGAATTTCGCACGATTTTTACATGAAAAACTGATAATTTGGAATTCGCATGAATATCATGCGAAATTTCAGTCACATGAAAATCGCATGAATTTCGCATAAATATTATATGAGGACATTCGCATGAAATTCGCATGTGGAAATATTCGCATGGTTTTTATATGATTTTCGCACGAAATTCATGCGAAAAGGCAATCGCATGAAAATCATGCGAGCCACTTCTCCCTGTGTAAGTATGGATGTATAAAAGAAGGAAAGATAAAGTTTAAAAAATATCTTCATGCACAAGCAAGTATAAAACATATGATTCTTATATGCATTTAGATGATCCTAATAAGAAACTTAAATTTAAACAATAAAATGCTTTCTTTGTCGCAGCTATTGCAGAAAAAATTTACATAACCCGCTTACGCGGGTTATGTATTTTTTATGCAACAGCTGCTTCCGTTAATTCCAGTAATAACAAACAAAGAAAGACATTTTATTGTTTATATTTATATCTTTTCAAATAATCATTTAAAGTAGGTTTAAAAAGATTAACTATTGTATTAATGATGTGAACGTCTTTATACGTTTCATTGATGGAACAGCCACTGATCAAGAAATCTGTACAGGCGACATGCCTAATGTAGTTCATGCAGTGAATAACGCAATGGGTTTTCTTAAGAAATAAAGGAGAAAATATTCAGTGGATGTAAATATATGAAGATCATATGGACATGAATTAGATAAGCAAGTGTTTATGGGACATCTAAAGATTCCTTTCTATTATAAAACATTCATGATGTATGTATATTGAATTTTTCTCTCAAATCAATTTATATCTTTTTTACTGTACATTGTGAAAAAAATCATCAGATAATAATTCATTATGTCTAATCGGGAAGTAAAGTGCAACATGTCTTTCTTGTTTTATGTAATTATTGAAGTAGAAACTCTATCCAACCATACCTAGGAAACAAAATAAAAACAGCTTAATATATTCTAATTTCTGCGATGTGGCCAATGCGCCTTTTGTATTCTATCAGCTCTGAAAATCTTGTGATGATTTGGTCATTAAAAAAGTAAATTGTAAAAAAAGAAAGAACATGTATTTTGATTTTTTCTGAGACAAAGAGAGGAAAGGACAAAGGAAATACTAGAATTGAAATTCAAAATGACTAAATATGACTCAGAAGAAAACAACTAGCCCGATGTTCGGTAAGTACGTAAACTAAGAAGGATAACTACAACTCGCACATTTCTACTTGACATCGAATGGATTATATCCATTGCATGTTAATGACTTTGAAGCGAGAAATGTTAATCCAATTATCAGATCAATGGAACTAACGATAAAGAAATGATTTTCCTTCCCAGGAGTTCCAGATACATCATTTGGATTGAGTCAAATTGCATTTAATTAATCCTTGGAAAAAAGTTTATTTTTTTCAATATGCTTAGCTACAAAACATTGTACTAAAAATAGGAATTTTATTCTTTATTTCATCCAACTATTAAAAAAATATCGGACTGAAATGTAAAGACACGACAACTTTATATTCAAAGGTGCCAACTATATATGTCCTATTAAATACGAAATACATTTGAATACATACATTTGAAATCAAAATTTTCAATTTAGAAAATTTTTAAACAATTTGCTTAGAAATTTTAGTTTTTCTTTATTCAAATAAAACTTTTGATCTTTAGCAAACATTTTCTTCCATTAATGAGAACTTTATCTTCCTTAAGTCCTGTAGCTTTAGATAGAACATAAAAAATTCACGTCGATACCTCTTAAAACGAACAAATAAATCATGAATATTTCTAATGTATATTTCCTTAGAGTAAAGTTACAATAAAAAATATTTTCAAGTAAAATACACATTATCAAAACTATTTTTTGAAGTAAAAAAGGCTCTTATGATTGTTAATCTCTCTTGCTTCTTACAAATTAATATTTATTTTGAAATAAGAATATATATACAAACTTACATGTAAGGAAGGTCTTTTCGTAACTAATGAAACTGAAAATTATTGTTTTCCCGTTAAGAAAATCTGTATCTTTTAATGTTCTAATTGATAAAAGATTTAATGTTTTAGGACATATTAATCTGAAATATAAGCCTGCTTCGAAAATCCGTTTATGCAAAAAATTTACGATTTCTTTACCTTTCTTTCTTTCCATTTTTCTTTTACAATTTAATTAAAATTCATAACTTTTATACAAATTTTGTTCAACTCAGTAATATTTTTGACGATAAATTACAAAAAGTAAGGGAAAATCGTTTACCCCTGGTTCCCACCAATTCCTTTGCAATTCACGTAAAGTGAATCTGAATAAGAAAATGTAGAACAGGTACGTACATTTATTGATTATTTTTCAAGTAATTATCCTTATATTAAATGTTTGTGAGTTGAGAAGAAATCATAGAAGGGGCAGATACACCTTAGCTCTCACGTACAACCACCTCGTACACGACTTTGTTAAACCTCTTTTTAGATATTTATCATTCTGGGATTTGATATCCTTACATGAATGATTAAACTGATTATATTGTTTACTTTTTGATCTTTTAAAACACAACACCTTGCAGTTTGACACGTATACGGCTTCTCGTGTATTAGAATCCCCACGGTGTATTAAGTTAAAATAAGATGCAGGTATATTATTCAACAATTAAGTAAATAAATTATCATGAGCGGATCAATGTATAGAATTTCCAAACGATTTTTCTCTCATTTATGTTCATGCACGATCAAAACCAAATTTTAGATGAAAGCAATTTTATCATTTTGAATAAAAAAAAAATATCGTACATTTAAGTTAAAACTGAAAGTTTTTATAGCATATTAAATGTTTTTAAGTAATTCATTTTCTGTGTGTGTGTTTTTTAAATGTGATATTGAAAGGTGAAAAATAGGAATTTTTAACGTAAGGCACAGAATACTCAAGCAATGCAATAAAATCTTAGAGAAAATATATCAATCATTTGTTAAAATGTATGAAAAAAGTTTAGATGGTTATGTTTTGTTAATTTTGATACAATTTAAAGAAGAAGTCTGGTTTTGTTCTATTTACTGTCAGTTTGTCAACTGTTACCCAACTAGATACTAGATGAATTAAGGAATATTTTTTGTCTTACTTATTTATTAATATATGTTATTGATTCTTTATGTTCAATGACAACTTTAATATTTACTTAAAAGTTACACACCATTA